CTTGAGACCATTGCTCCTTGTTCTGCCATCTGTCACTACTGAGAACAGCCTCTCTCCATCCTCTTTGGAACGTCCCTTCAGGAAGTTGAAGGCTGCTATCAAATCCCCCCTCACTCTTCTCTTCTGCAAACGAAACAAACCCAAATCCCTCAGCTTCTCATAGGTCACATGCTCCAGCCCCCCTAATCATTTTGGTCACCCTCCGCTGGACCCTCTCCAATGCGTCCACATCCGTTCTCATATAGAGGGGGGCCCTCTACTCCCGATGTGGCCTCAGCAGAGCCAAATAAAGGGGAATAATCACTTCTCTAGATCTGCTAGCAGTGCTCCTCCAGCCAGTATCTCATGCAGCTGTGCTTTTTCAGTTAAAAACAAGATCTGTGGCACCCTGAAACTGGAACATAAAATGGAATTTAACTGAAAATACATAAAACAGAGGAGACTGGTCTGAATGGCATATTCATTTCCATATTTCATTCATTGAATAATTATCATTATTTAAATGATACTGTGACAGAATTTGTCTGCCACATAAGAGTACTGCAGAACCAAAGGCTTTGCTCTGGGTACAGGCCCAGTTGCTGCAGCATATACAGGGGCTTCTCTCTAACAAACTGAATGAAATCTTCATCCAAGCAGCTTTTCTTCCGACGAGGAATTTGCATTTTAAGCAACGCATGTGCAACCAAATGTTGGATCTGATCATTTGGTCCAAATTGTCCCATGTCCACAAAATCCATGTGGATTCTCTGCCTCTGCAGCTGCATTACTGGCTTTTCCAGGACCTCAAACTGATCCAGTTTCCTCTGCTTTTTATGTGTTGCCTGCTGCTCAGATATGATGTTTTGCTGAGCTATCTGCTCCACCCTGGTCCCCCGCAAAGACTAGAATGGTGTTGTCCATTTGGTCCTCATCATGAAATAAGGGTGGTGTTGCCTGAATGGATTCTCCTGGACACTCCTGATTTCCTGGAAGGTTTGAAATTATGGATGGTCAGAGATCCCTGTTAATTAGCCACTGTATTGGGATATGACCTTTTGTAGCTCTGACCCCTCCGCTGACTGAAGTCATAATTGAATTCCAGTCTGTTCCCAGCATTCCTATTTGCCAGGCACAACCGTAATCTTCAGGGTGTGAACAAGGAAAGGAATGGAGCAAGCCACACCGCTTGAAACACTGGCAGAAAATAAGAGGTGATTGAGGAGTTTTCACATTTTCCGTAAAGTGAAACTAGAGATCCATGAGGCAAATGAGCAGGAACATGAAGGGGGACTCCAGACTGTTAGACAGTCATCAAGGGTTACTGGCTTTGGTTGGATGTGTTCCTGAAGATTTCATCACGTGATGTAGTCTTTAATTAAAGACTCACCTTTAATTCTTGGAGATTCCAGGACAATCCATGGCAAAATTGTCACTTTCAGGGCCTGTTTTCTTATTTTATAGTTAGAGCCCTGCAAGTCTGCAGATATCAGCTTTATAGCCACAGGAATCCGCATCCACAAGTGTGGATATTGATATCCACTGCTCGTTTTTGAAGCTACGGACGTGGATGTAGTTACTGATGTTGAATCTAGAACCCTGCATGGATATCCACAGCTCATTTTTGCAGATGTGGATACAAGTTTTGTGTCCTTGCAGGGCTTTGTGTGGTGTCAGTATCATTTGGAGAATAGTATATGTGACCATTGCAATGTATGCCCAAAAGGGGCAAAGGTGAGGATGTGTATGGTCTTAATGTTATTCCTTGACTCGTATATTTAAGCATGAAACCTTAATGTTATCTGAGAGCAGGTAGACTCTGTGCTGCTTATGTATCAGTTTAAAATTTGCCAAAAGAATGCACTTTATCGTGTATTTTTGCTGATCCATCTTAAAGTTGCTCAGAATTGTGACTCTTCACTTAAGGCAGGGAACCTGCCTAAACGCTGTTGGTTGATCTACTTTTGATGCTGTGTATAGGTTTGAAAACAGGATTTCCTTAATTACACGAGCATGAATTAAGATCAGAGTCTCTTCAGATACCTAGTTGTATTTCTAATGTGCCCATCACCGTGGCGTCTAGGCATGTCAACATTCTTCCAGGGAAGATTGGTTAAGGATACTCCTGGAGAAATCTCATTTGTGTGACCAGATTTGGTTATTAATGGTTCCAGATAGGGTGAAAAGAGCAATACTTTTTTCACGTGTGATTTGGGATTTACTGAATTATATTCACTACGAAGAACGGACATTGTTTCTGATTACCTGTAGGTTTGCTGAACAAGCAAAGTTATATCCTCTAGTGAATAATTGTTAGTGTGTCTGCTACTCAATTTATCACTCAGTTCCTCGTAAAATGTGGAAAAATCTTTCCCCCCTCTTTTTTTAAAATCAGCACAAACCCTGCCAGATGCAGCTCATCCAAATAAGCTTGGTGATGAGATAATGTGGTGTTTTTTTAGTTGTGCAATTATAATGATGTATAAAACAGCACAACAAAACTAGTCCCTTACCTTTTGATACATGAGCAGCATTAAATGACGTGCATGTGATGTTACATGCTCAGAGTGTGGTCACTAATGAATCTTTTGTGGACATTATATTTTTGGTTTTGAGGCACTTAGAAGTTCTTAAATGTAAATGACTGGGCACTCAACTTTCAGAGAGGGCTGTCTTTGCTGTTTCCAATGGGCAGTGGCTTTGGAGAAAGAGGGAAGAGGGGCTATTTTAAGTAGCGAGACTGGGTTTAAATTTCAGTCCATGGATTTGGTTTAAGATGAAGTACACCTGGAGTATTTCCCCCAAAGTATTTAAGCAGAACGTCTTGTGGAGATCAATGTGGAACATAGGTAGATCCTGTCCCCTGAGCTGAGAGATTGTTTCCAAAGGATTTTGTGTCAACCCACCTGTCACAGGGAAGGTTTCCTGAATCCAGGGTGGAACTTGAGAGAGAGACCCCAGAATAGCCAAGAACCTACTGATTTGGAAACTCACTTGAGATGTGGGAGTCCAGTTTCAGGATTTTACACTGTCTGATTTGGGGCAGGGTCTTGAATCTGTAATCTCATGTCCCTGGTGAGCACCGTAACTGTTGGCTAGTCTCAGCCCTCTGTCATTCTCCCATTTTTAAATGAGGAGGGATCTTGGTTTCCTCCTGCTACAAAACCAAATGCCAAAGTGGAGTTGTCTTTTCTCAGTCAGCCAGAGTTAATTCTTTCCTGTGATTTGTGTGTGAAGGAGAAAACTCCCTTCTTTCCTGGCGTGGCTAGGAGGGAGAAGAGCATTTACCCTGATGCTGGGAGGCTGTATCCCAGCTCTCTGGTTCTCTTCTTTGTGTCACAGCCTTCAAGGCCGCGGTCCTGATCCAAAGGTGGTATCGACGCTACGTTGCCCGGCTAGAGATGCGCCGAAGATGCACGTGGAGAATTTTCCAATCCATCGAGTACTCCTGTGAGCAGGATCAGATCAAGGTACAGTGCTGCGGGGAAGCGTTTGCCGTCTGGCGGGCCGCATCTTCGTTAAGGATCGGGGAGGAGGTTTTAGAGACCTGAGTTCAAGTTCTCAATTATCCAACAGATTCTCTGGACAACCTTAGGCAAATCATTTATTTATCCTCTTCACCTCATTTCCCTCTCTGTTCAGTAAGGATAATACTGCTCCCGGGAAGCTGCTTCCAATGTGTATGTACAGGACCATCTTTCAGCGTCTCATCCACATCCCATAATTGGGTTAGACCATCTAGGGCTACTGCAATAAAAAGTGATCTGTGAAAAAGACAAAATGCAAGACCCACTTATGCACTGGGGCAGAGGGGGAATGGATGAGATGATGGGAGGAGAACCGCAGCAGTAGGATCATGCATCTTCAGGGAGTTGCACAATTGTGTTTTAAACGGGAATTTTTTCCCGCCAGCTTCTCGGTTCCCCCTTTCTTACATTTCTGCTCTGCCTGGCAGGCCTCAGCTGCTTGACCCTTCTTGCCTAGGAGAGGGTGGCATCTCCAGAGTTTTGTGGTAGACCTCTCAAGACTCTTTCTGTGGCTGCTTGGCAGGGAAAGTTGTCTCCTGCAATGAAACAGCAGCTCCTGATCTGCTGCCTCTCATGTTTAAATTTTGTACTTGCTGTTTTCTGGTAAGGTGTTGACTTCCGTCTGGCTTCCCAGCCCCCTTCTGGCTCTCTTCACACTGACTTTCTTTTCCTGTTACACAAGCGAATAGGGAGCTGTGATGAAAGCCAGAAATACTTCTCCTTGAAACCAGGGGGTGCAAATGAAATGAGACCGGATTGGGGGCACATCAGTCTCAGTTCACAGCTTGTCTATGGGGACTTATGAACACATGAGCGCTTACTGTTTAACTGGGCTCTGTGTTTTCACCCCTGCCTGTCTCAAGCAGATATTTGCATCTTTTCTTGCAGTGAGAGAGAGATTTCTCCCGTGGGGGGAAAAAACCCAGGGTGAAGTGAAGCAAGGGGAGTGAGGAAAGCCCTGTCTTTTGCATGCACTCCAAAAACAGTTACAAAGTATCACTCGTCTTCAGCCTGTTCTGACGCCCATTGACGTCAATGGAAGGGTTTGCGCTGCCTTGGGTGGGTGTAGGAGGAGGCTCTACGCCCATTGACGTCAATGGAAGGGTTTGCGTTGCCTTGGGTGAGTGTAGGCTCACTAGTCTGTCTCCCAGGGCCAGATTTTGTCGTGTTTGGTACCCAGCGTGTTTCCAGTGAGCTGAGCTCATCTTAAAATCTGGCTGTTAACGATCAGCATTACATTGGGAAGGTGGTTAATTAAGTATCACTTGACATAATGGAGGATTAAGCTGTGGAACTCTCCACAGCGAGATATTGTGAGGCAAATGGCTCAGTCAAATGGGACTGGATTTTTCTATGCGTAAGAGCAGCTTCCGTAGCTACGTTGCCCAGAGGAGAAATGAACAGGGACTATCAATTTCCCGCAGCAAGGTCTGAATTAATAACTGCCTAGCGCTCATGCAGAATTTCCCCCCTGGTGGTGTCCTATTGCACAACGGGCTGCATTTTGTAGTTTTTTCATCTTCCCCAGATTATTGGCCTGTTTGCGAGAGGGGAGACTGGTCTATGTAGACCAGGGCTTCTGCTCCACACTGGGAAGAGGTGTGACCTGATATGCTGTAAATGCCGTGCGGCGTGCTGCGGAGATTGTCAGGTGAAGAGAGGAACCAGCCGTGCGGCGTGCTGCGGAGATTGTCAAGGCTCAGGTGAAGAGAGGAACCGTGTTCTGAGGAACACTCCGCAGGAGGGATGTAAATTCTGGGTTTAAAAGTTAAATGCTGGGTTTAACTGGAGCAGCCCCCTTCGCTCCTGTCTGTCAGGCGGTGGGCCAGCCAGACTGGTCTGGTTGCTCCAGCCCCCTGAAGCAGTTAACCTTTTCCATCCTTGCCTCGCAGTAGAGCTTGCAAAGCTTTAGCTCTTGTGTGGGGGTGACTCACATGGCACTCCTTGTCGCCCACAGCTCCACAACTTCTTCAGCTACCTCATGGACCACTTCACGCCAAGCAGCAGCAACGAGAGTAAGCCTGTGTGTTCCCTACGTAGGTGTGGTACTTGCGGGGCGCACCGAGTGCAGGGTATGGAGAGGGAGATGGATTCGTATGACGCTGGTGACTGATTAAGGAGCGACCTTAACGGCATCTGAAAGGAGACCTGGCTGGGCGTCAAATGGGCCATGACTGCAGTGCAGGTCTCAGGAGGCTAAAGTGGGTCAGGAGTAAAATAGGGAGATCCAACGGGAGATGCAGAACAGCTTCCTCCCCGGTAGGAGCTGGGAGGAATAAAAGTCACATTCATAAGGCTATAAAAGAGTTTGTCTTTGCCAAATGTTTCTTAATCACAATAATCAGAGTCCTGTGAATTCCATGACCCTGCAGACTCCACCCGTGGAGAAGGTGCCCCAGCAGCCTGATTGTCTTTACAAATATTAAGTTTCTAGCCCTCCATGGTTGTGGCAAGGACCATAGAAACGTGGATGCCAACCGATGCAGTGCAGCCTTCCTGAGCTGAGAGCCTGAAACACTAGCTCAAAAGGGCAGGGACTTCCCAATGGTGTGTGAACTCTGGCTGTACAAGTCACATGTTGGCATTAACTATTTCGCTGCTGATCATTTTAGCAAATACATCCAGCTGATGTGCTTACCCCGTTATCTCAACATGCCTCTCTCGCCTAACTTTTTTGCCCCACTCCATGAAATCCTACAATGTTGTTACGTGTTTTCAATACCTAATATGTTTGGGCTACATCAAAGATCTGGATACAGAGTGAAATACATTGACTAGCATATCAAAAGAAATAACAGAAGTGAGCCTGCCTAGCTATACCATTCATTTCCACATTTAATTCAGGGGGCTCAAAAAACTCTTACCACAGACTAGCTGCACCAAAATGCTGCAGGAACTAGGCAGGCTTTCAGAAATACTTGCCACGGAGCATACTGGGCCTTGCTTAGTCCAAATCACATCTAGACAGAGCTGGTTGGAAACATTTTGTTGAAATATGGGAAATCCTATTTTTGTCAAAGTTATAGCATTTAGAAAAAACATGTTGACTTCCGTGCAAAATCCCTGTGGGGAGTTTTTTCAAAATTTGAAAAGAATTTCATTTTGGTAATTGTCTGCGTTTTTGTTCAGATACCTGAATTGCATTTTAGAATTTTAAAATTAAAAGTTTTTTTCAAACTCCGAAAGTTTTCAGAATATCAGTTTTGCAGGAAATTTCAAAAGTGTTTTCAATCTGCATGGGGATGAAAAAAGAATCAATGTCAAAATTTCCTTCATGAAGCAAATTCTGAGTTTAAACCAGGTTTAGTTCCCTCGATCTAGTTTCTAACTGGATTACATGCTTTGGAATCAAGGCTAACGAAGGGCTGTCCTTGAATACCCCTCCAGGATGATGATCTTTAATTAGACCTGATTCACTTTTTTTTAACTCCACCCAGGGGACTTCATTAGCCGCATATTAACTGAGGAAGAAAGCTACAAAGACACAGAGCTGGAAAAGCTCTGTGATTATGAATCTGTGGAAGTGCCAGATTCCTATATGGGACCTCATCTCTCCTTCCCGCTGCGGCCTGATCATGCAACTGCCTTAGTAGAAGCTTTCAAGCAGAAACAAGTAAGTATCCCCAAAAGGGGGATTTCAGTGGTATTCTCTCCTTGCACTGCCATGGAGGTGGCAGGGTAGAAGAAGAGTTCCAGGGGTGATTTGCTTCTCTCTTTTCAAACGCGTAGTTAGAAATAGGAAGGGGAAATGTTTTAGGACATCCACTTTTTTTTTTCTTCGTGGGCCCAATAAATCAATATGTGATGACTGTGGAGGCAGTTGGCCAAAAAGTTGGTGAAAAAGGTGAACAGAATGTTAGGAGCTATTAGGAAAAGAATAGAAAATCAGATAGAAAAGGTTATATTGCTGCTACGTAAGTCTACCTTGAATCCTGTCCCCAGTTTCTGGTCAACCCATGTTAAAAAGAATGTAGTGGAACTGGAAAAGGTTCAGAGAAGAGCAACAAACACAATTAGGGGTATGAGTCTGTCTTACCTGTTTAGTTTGTAAGCCAGGAATGTCTCTTGCACTATGCCTGGCACAACAAGGGCCTGATCTCTGCTGGAGTTGTGATACTGTAATACAGATACCAGGTAGCTCACTAAAACAGTGGCTCTGGTCCTGTGCTGCAACACATGATAGACACATCTCTACATACCATTACGGAGATTGATCTTTTGGTGTTCGATTAAGTGGGTCTAGTAAGGACCCACTGAATTGAATGCTGAGGGTGCCCTGCTCCCATCGACTCCCTGCTGTGGAGACGGTGCCAAGTTCAGCTTAAGGTACATTGACTTCAGCTACATTATGCTACAGCCTACCCTAAGCCGATCTTCCGGGTGTAGTATAGACCTGGCCTAACTCTCACTGTCTCTCGGAGGGCTGGATTGTCAAGTGTGCTCAGGCCCCAGCAGCTCCCATTGCAGAAAGAGATCTCGGTGAAAGGTGCTGTTCAAAATCTGGCCCTGTGTATACTCCCTTGTAACATAATTGCAGCTAATCCTTCCTAACTTGGCGACTGCTATCTTCACTGGACTGGCCCATGTACACCACCCAGGTCTCCTTCCCTTGGACGCCTCATTACCAGTAGCATTTTAGGTAGCCCTTTGCAGTTGCAAGTACCATGCTAATGGCTTGCCCGAGCCCGTTCGCTTCCACTCCCTGAACACTGTCGTATTGCGAACATCCCGCTCTAATGCCCTCGATTTCTCCCAGTAGCAGCTCCACGCTCGTTATGTCTTAAAACTCCTGCACGAGACCAGGCGACATCTCATGCAGCTGCCAAACATCAACCATGTCTCCACCTGCTACAGCGAGGAGGTCACCGTCTGCGGTAAGAGCGCTCAAAAGGAAAAACCAGAACTAGCCCCACCCGTGGAGGGGTGTGGTTTTCAACTGCAAAGCCGTGGAGGCTAAATCTTGCTCTGTGTTAGGTGTGTAACCCCAGCAAATGAAATGGCGGCGTAGGCGTGGAACGGCGCAGGGTCTGGCACTGTTATTTGTGTGTAGCTTCAAAATGGTACAGCTGTGCCTGTGTACATGGTGGGACATCAGAGCGGAAATCCAATTCACCGTAACCTGCTGCGTTCAAGTCAAATCAAACCTACCCAGTAGAGGGCCCAGGTCTCCATAGTGACCAGCTTAGGAAGAATGAAATGGCGGCGTAGGCGTGGAACGGCGCAGGGTCTGGCACTGTTATTTGTGTGTAGCTTCAAAATGGTACAGCTGTGCCTGTGTACATGGTGGGACATCAGAGCGGAAATCCAATTCACCGTAACCTGCTGCGTTCAAGTCAAATCAAACCTACCCAGTAGAGGGCCCAGGTCTCCATAGTGACCAGCTTAGGAAG